TCAACCCAAAAGCGTGGTGCAAAGCAAACTTTCTAACTATGTCATCGCGAACCATGCAAAAGAGAATATCCAAAGCGAGAAGATTGCTACAGGGTATACATTCGGACACGTCCGTCAAGCTCATTAAAGTTGGTGATCCAAAAGCGATGAGAGCTAACGAGGGAGGGATACTTGGTAACCGTGGCCTTTTGCAGTATGATGTATACCAGTAAGTGCGACTTAAAGCGCTGATTCTAAATCTATGTTCTTTATCTGCTGTGCGACTCGCTGAACGAAGTTATGCACTTTCTTCCACATTGATTTTGCGAGATTCAGGAAGTCAAAATCGTCAGTATCTAGGCTTTTTAGGCTCTAATGTATTAATGACAGTTTTCCTGAACTTAACGTGAAGCTTTACTTTACTACACGCTCTTTTGTAATGCGTAAGCGAACATGCTGACGATATTGGTGAATCCTGCATCAAAAACCGTGCAAATTTCAATGACAAGAAATGTTCATAACTTCTTTTAGAATAGCGCACAGCAGGTAATGGAAACAGATTCGGAATCAGACCTTCAAGATGCATTTAATGGTTTATGTTTTATTTCAGAAGGCCACGGTCACCATTCCTTGTAAGTTAGCTTTAAGTAGCTAGTCATGTCGAAAAGCCGTCCTTCAGAATATCGGTTTTTGAAATGGGTACTCCAATCATCACAGTCAAGCACACATTACTAGATCACACAAGCGAGACGAACATGCTCGCAGAAACCTTCTGGCGATTTTTTGCTTTGAAAATTTACCTTTTGCAACGGAAGAATTGCTTAGGTTGCATTTATACTAATCCGGAGGTTCGGGAACAGTTCCAACACAGTGCTCAATTGAAACGTTGTGCTGAAACTGTTTCCGAGCTTCTGGATCAGTATGAACGCAGCCTCAAAAGCCCTCTCCTTCATATAGCATTCTCACACAACTCACGTTACCACGCATGTCACGAAGCTTAGAGAAACGCTAAGTGGCGCTAACCATCACTCATTACAGACGATTACTATTTAAAAAGCTGGAGCGAGCACGAAATAAAATTTCGGCTCTACGTTGGTATTGATCTTTGACTTCATTATAGGTAAATCTTACATGTGAGTGCCGAAGAATGTGGGGTTGTTGAGAGCAACATGTAAAGCAGGACCATGCACACACAGCAGTATCTGAGAATTTGATGAGCACTAGCAAGCTACTAGCAAGTTACTTTTTGATGATAACGCTATATGGAGCTGTCCCGAACAGTATCACGACAAAACTGAAGTGCTTAACAGTTTGTGCAAAAGAGTGTCCTTCGCAGACAATAGAGTCCCCAAATTGTATGATAGCTTCTTTTATCAAACTTTTTCCTCATTATGACGCAGGTTCCCTTGTTAGGGTGTTCCTAAAGTTCACTATATCCATGTCTATGCTGTAGGGCAGTCGAAGACATTATTGCAACGAGCGAGGATACAGCGACTCTAGTGACGTACGTTTGATTTCCGTTGGGAGGGGCGATGAAGGTGCGTGGCATCAGCCACCCACTCCAAGAAATTTTGGTGTGATTCCCAAAATTTATGCTGGCCTCTAATTTCGAGATTTCAGAAACGGGGGACGTGGCGGCAGCCCTCGAAAAATTTTTTCGTAAGGCTAAATCAAGTTTTCAAAAATTCAAAAAATTATAATTATTTACAGGTATAAACAAGTCACTTGCACATTACTATAACTCATGTAAGTCACTTCCAAAAATTTCGCGACCCATTCTCAGAGGGGGGGGGGGGGGCTCGCTACGCACTACTGAGTCACTCTGATGCACAATTGACAATTCTAATAATTCCAAGAAAACAGCAAAAACGGCATATTTTCTATTTTCTTAAATTTGGCACTATTAGTCTACCGATATATTCGATAACCATGTGACCGAGTTCAACCCACGGATGATTTTCAAAAACTGTCACAGAAATTGAGCACTGCAGTCACTATTTAACAAAACTATTAGCTCTATAAACATACCCGCGTTCAAATATATTTCCGAAATCTTGACGCAAACTATATAGTCACAGATTGAAAGATTTCATTTCATAAAATTTTGTGGCTAAGCTGTAGCGTCCAGCAGAAAACTTCTTTGTAAAAGAATGGGCCAACAGAAAAAAAAAGTAAATTTTAGCCAAGCGTCATGCCACAGAATCAGTGCAAACTCAGAGGATCTTTCGTTTATCTTTGTGCAAGTACAATTATTACATGCGCCTTAAAGCTTTTCGGTCATTCTTTCTGGTCAATTCTCTGATAGAAATATGCAAAAGCCTCAACAAACCACTTTCGTAATTTCTGGATGTATCTCTGCGTTTTTAGCGTCTACGGATGATATATTCACGTAAATTTTCTTCAACGCAGGGCCTGACAAGGATGGCAAATGGGTTAATTATATATCGTTTTGCAGGTAAATATTGAAAAGAATGCTGTGCGAAGTAGAGGGAGCCAGTGTGCACTTTTTTGGAACGCTCTGTATATGCAATTTTCTCATACATTGCGTTTTGCTTATCTGGTGTAGAGCGCGCACCCTACATGCATTAAGTGCAGCTTGCGACCCTTCTCCACTCCGCAAACCGCAAAAATTTCATCTTGCGGTTCCTTCCAGAAAAGACTTACAGCTTGCCCTTTTTTCGACTGTGCCGCGGTCTGCATGCATGCTACAAAATAAAATTCATATGTTGTGGCCGCATATAAACAGATACTTAGATCTTCCGGATGACGGCAAACAATTAATTTGCGCGCAACCATAAGGCACTGGACGTAAACATTTCTCAACCAACATCATGCTATGAAAGACGCCTACTGCAAAGATTGAACTTACTCGATATATTTTTCAAACCTCGGCTGCTTCTTTACCTCGAGCTATATTACGATCTTTTAGTCATCTTGCCAAATGCTGTGCTATCCATGTAAAGGCTAGATCGTTTATTTGAGTATAATTGGATTCATTTGCTCAATGTTGCAACTATGCGAATCTATACGTTAACGGCAAAGTTGACTTGCGGAGCGGCAAACGCTTTAGCAAGCACGAAGATTAATTATATGCACCGTGCAAATGACAACACAATTAGCCTTTGCGGCAGTACACTACCGGCCAAATATGTCGACTTTTGTCTTTGCAAGCAGCTCACGTCAACGGCGGCATTTGCGATTGGCCTTGTTCAGCGACGAGCAACCGCAAATTGACAAAAGTATTGCTTCGTCGTTATAATACTGTCAACAGTTTTTTTTCTAGGAAGTTGGTAGAATTGAATTGTGCAAGTAAAAACTAGTGCATACCAACTTTACTTCATCCGATCGTTTCAATGTCATCTGCTTTTTTACGCCAAGCCATGCGGAAAACTGCTTGTAAGCATTTCCGATACCCTCTTCATCCTCTTTCTAGCAATTACGCTGACCTTCAGCAAAAGAATAGCTTTCAACAAAATGATGTTTGCTAGTTCTTCAATTGAAAGAATGCATTTGAGCAAAGCAAGTCAAATCTAGCATTTCTCGAGATCGAAGAAATGAACACAAAACGAAACTTCTACGAAAAAGATGAAAATCTGCTTTATTGTGTAAGATCCTGTGCAGTTTTTGGTTTTGATCAAGGAAAATGGTGTTCAATCAAAGAAAGCACGAAATTTTTCAAGAGCAACATTAAAGCTTCAAAGAGGAAATAAACATCATTTTTTCGTCTTGAAATGTCTTTGACTCTTTTGTGAATGACGGCCGCTCATAAGCATAATATTTTTGATTAAAAAAAAAGCGGCGCTATTCGGCTATCCGGGCCCCAAAAATTTTTTGACATGGATTTCGCTCGAAATCGGTCCAAAGGGGTTATCTGACATGCTGATCACGAATATCACCTTTTCTCCGCATGAAAATGCCTCCCTGCAGGGTTACAGGTTATGGTAGGTATACGGTACTGGGTCAAAATCACGGATTTGCCCGAAACTTCATTTAGAGGGGTTATTTGGCACGCTGAACACGAATATGATGTTTATCTTGTGCGACAGTGCCATCCGGTGGAGTTACGGTAGGACTACGATAGAGGGTCAAAATCACGGACTTGCCCGAAACTTGGCCTAGAGGGGTTATTCGGCCCGTTGATGCCAAATATCACATTGGCTTTGAACCATAGCGTCATTTTCTCGGGTTACGATAGCTACACGGTAACGGGTGTAAAGCATAGTTCTGCCTGAAACGAGTGTACGATGATTCGGACGATTGTGAAGCTTTGCACACACGACCACCGCCGCGCGCTACACACCCTGCTACGGCTTTTGCCTAAGCAAAGCACGGGGGGGAGATACATTTGCCGATTTGTGATTCTGACCCCTACCGTAAACCTACCGTAACCATGCAGAGAGGCTTTTTTCGTGCGGAGAAAGTGTGACATTCGTGATCAGCATGTCAGATAACCCCTGCGAATTATAGCGAATTTTGAGATTTTGACCCCCTACCGTAAACCCACCGTAACGCGAGAAAATGACGCTACGGTAGAAAACCAATGTGATATTCGGCGTCAGCGGGCCGAATAACCCCCTGGGCCAAGTTTCAGCTGAATCTACGATTTTGACCCCCCTACCGTATGCCTACCGTAACCCTGAAGGGAGGCATTTTCCTGGGGAGAAAAGGTGATATTCGTGATCAGCATGTCAGATAACCCCTTTGGGCCAAGTTTGAGCGAAATCCATGCCAAAAAATTTTGGGGCCCGGATAGCCGAATAGCGCCCGTAGAATTTTTCTTCTATTATTTCCTTCAATTACTTCGATACTTCTAAATGCGCAAACAAGACCAAGTCATTATACAGACTATGAACTCAATTTGTATTGATTTCATCGCATTATTCTCACTCTTGCAGTAATTATTTCTGGTCATTCAACATCCCCATTGAAAGGCGCATTGCAATAAAGTGAGGTTCATTCTGATATAATAAAAATTATCACATTGAGCTTAAAGATCTCAAATGTATGAATCCAGATGCCATTCAGAAAGTTGAGATTTGAAAACGACACCGATTTTTTATGACTGGAAAATTGCAAATAGGAGCGGCTTTTCGGCGTGCAACGAACATTGCGACGACTTCTGCTCGAATTCGCGTGTTGTAGCAAAGGTAAACAACTCCATGTAAACCTGGAAAAGAAAATGAATTGATAAATTCGTTCGTTTACAAGGAAATACTCAAAATTCGAAGTGGCCAGTCCCAACACTTCGTTGAACACTCCAAACGGCTGGGCACATATACTCCTTCATTATCTGCTTCTCGGTCTCCTACACGATGATATGGCCCTCGATTCCGACGTGGTGCAGCCATGCATCATAAGTGCTCGCTGCCGCAACTTTTACGGGAGGTGGACTCGTAGCGCAGTAGTAAGTTTGCAGACTCATAGAACGAGCTGTCGTTTCTGCTTGCAAGTTCGACTCCTTTTGCTTGCTTCTCTTTTGCAATTCTTTTCCAATAACTATATTGCTGGCGCGAAGTCCCTAACGCAGTCAAAAAGGTAATTTAACTTCTAAAGACTTCAAAAACTTTATTTTTTGTGTAATTTGAGAGTACGACTCAATTCGGGTAAAAATCAACATAAGCATTTATGGAAGGCAAAAACAAAATGCGGAAAACATAGGAGGGCTTCACAGTACGCACAACATAAAAAACGTTCTTCATCACAATTCAAGAAACTATCGCATCAAACCAAAGATTAGGTTTCTGTTTATCAGTTTCAGCTCCACCTTTCTTGCTGCTTGCTGTTCGTTCTTGCACCCCTATTCATCAATATTTTTATCTCAAGAGAGTTTGTACGATAAAAAATATAAGTTTTTGAAGTCTCTATATTTTCAATTACCTTTTTAACGCGTCAAGGACTTCGCGCAAGCAATATAGATATTAGGAATGGGTCGCCAAAGAGTAGCGAGCAAAGTAAATCGAAATTGCAAACAAAAATGGCAGCTTGTCCTATGAGTCTGCACACTCACCACTACACTACGAGTCTACCTCTGCTATTACTTGTGGCAACGAGTACTTATGATGCGGCCACACGTCGGAATGAGGGCCATAACTTCGTGTAAGAGACCGAGAAGCAGATAATGAAGGCGGATATGTAACCAGCCCTTTATGGAGTTGTTCAACGGTATACACCTTGTTGGGATTGGCCACTTCGAATTTTGACTAATCCCTTGTTAGCATGTGAGTGCTGCCTTTAAATTGATTAAGGACAAATTTACCATGGCTGAGCTGCCACATCACGTTTATTGCTATAAGGACATTTCGTGGAACTACGAACAGTTCTGCAGCACCGTACAGCAGGCCGGTCAATATTGTTGGTAAACAGATTAAGATTACTTGTATGAGCAGCTGTAAAAAACCATCAAATGTTCAAACAAGAGGACAGGTTGCGGAGTGTTTACTTTTTGCTGTCAAGAAAAAAAGAGCTTTTTCCGCAAATTCATTTTCCTCACTCAGTGCCTGTGTTTTACTTCATTTGTTGTTTCATCACTTTTCTGAGCGTGTGCTCGAACATGAGCATATATGCAAACACACCTGTTTTTGAAACTTATCAGAACTGTGTACAGCATTCCACTTTTTCCATACAATATAGCAAAGTATGGCGTACAATGCTCCCAAAACTCCTGATTCCACAATGTCGTAGACTATCATCAATAAAGAGGTATTATAGTCATATCGTTTCTAAAAATAATCAACTCCTATTCCTAACAATTCTTTAAAACCAAATGCCTTGAAAATTCCACATTACCCTTTTTTGCTTTACAATGAAGCATACACAGTCTATTAACACTCTTGTTTCATTTTTTTCAGATGTCGGAAATTAGATCTATTGCGCAGAAAGAAGAATTGGAACATAAGTCAAAAGCTGTAAGATTTATTACTTAACACGAAGAGTTTGTATGACACAGAAGAAAACACATCGATGGTTACGCATACGATACTTTCGTTTTGCGTACTCCCAAAAATTTCTTTATCTTTTTCTAAGGATTGGATTCTTATAACTTTGCATTTGCGACAATATGCATCAAAAAGCTATGATTCTGCTTGCCGAAATCATTTGCTGAGATATTTTATATGAGCATCTTGGTTCACACATCTTCACTACTTGTCTAGAGATCCAAGGACCCTTACATAATAACTGCTTGCTTTTATCGCAAAATTAAGCATAGACAGAAAAACCGGACGTAATTTATCGTGATAGCAAAGACGCAGGCGATTTATTAGATTGTTCCAAAAGTAAACTTCATTTGGAAATAAATTGAGCTGTTTCTGTCTTCCTAACAGATTAGGGTACCGTTATAGAGCGTAGCAAGCTCTATAGAAAGACTACCAAGGGTCCACCTAAGTCGTAGTCCAGGCAAAATTTGGAGCCAGATTTGAAATTTTCAGCCACCGTGAAAATCGGATCTCCTGTCCAAAAATTCCTACGGACTTCCAACTTGGTATGTATCAGTGGCGGTCGCAGGATTTTCGACCGGGGGAGGGGGGGGGGGACGAAATTTTCTTTCTAGTGAAAGTGCGTGGCATTAGTCCCGCTCTGAAAAATTTTTTGAGATCATTTTTGCTGGCCCATGACCCTTCAAATTTTTGAAAATTTCAAAAACTATTTTGATTGTAGGTTTCCCACGTAGAATTTCGTATTTCTCGGATATAAGAGCACCTAAAAGGGTAAATTTTGATATTACACTTAGCAAGGCCCTGTAGTATACAATGACATATGTGGGAGGGGTTGAAGGCAAAGTTTGCAATTTTTAGAATATCTTTTTTCTTGCTTTCTATGGTGGGAAAAATCCACTAAAGGCATATTTGAGTACTACTACGTTTACTGTATAGTGACCAAGTTGAAAGTCGTAGAGTTCTTCTTCGCAAAAATCCATTTTTCAGGTGACAAAAATTTTTTTCTAACTTTGGCTCCAAATTTTACATGGAATGCGATTAGGCGCGCTCTTGGTGGTCATTTTATACAACGCTTGAGCTGCTCGTCAAATGATACCCTAATTCTACTAGTAAAGCAAAAACAGCTTAAATTTTCTGAGGTTACCTTTGGGACAACTTAATAGCAAAAGCCAATATTTTAGAGCTGTTTAACTTTAGAGGCAATTAGTTCAAATATTTGCGAATTGTAAAGAGGATTATATTAGGTTGTCCCAAAAGTTTTGTCCGTTTTTACAAACCACTATAAAACCACGCGCAATAGAAACCTGAATAAGAATCAACGTGAATTCGATGCAGCTTTTCCTTCTCTTTCTTGTGGACACATTTTTGAACCAAAATCTTCAATGCTTTTTTTGATAACTGCCAAAATTCTCCACCCGTCAATTTCATGTGCCCAAAGTTTAGCTAATTTTTGAAAATTTCATTTCAGAGTTTCGGAAATGATTAAGTGTAAATCAAATAGAGCAATTCTTGGACTATAAGGCAATATTTTTGGGTTCTCTATATCTGCTACTTTTAGCTTCAAAAAATAAATTTTTTGAAGGTCTTGATTTTTGGCAAAGTCATGAAACATGCAACTGCAGCAAATACATAAAAGCTTTTGAAATTTCTGCGAACTAAAACATGATTCTTATTAACCATTCTTTATGCAACGTAACCAAGTTTGATTTGCTTTGAAAAAGCTGCTTTTTGAATTTTTGATACTTTTTAGGGGGTTAACGTAATCAAAAAGCCGCGGTTTTTATTAAATAAATAATTATAACGGACTTGACAAACGTCATCCATGTAATCTGGAATGAGTGCAATGTAACCAAAGGTTTGCTCTACATAGCGGTTATCAGTGCTCTTTGAAAACATCAGGGTGAAAATTTTCAAAATTCAGGAAACATTTGGCGTTACCATTGAGCTGCCAAAAAAGCCACGGCGATAACATTGCAAAGACAACGTAGATCAGAAAGCAAGTAAAGCTACAAGAAAGAGTATAATAATCTGAATCAAATGGTACCTAAGCCGCCCATGGATTGGTGTTCTGTGAATTTTAGTGAGCGATGAAAAAAACGGACAAAACTTTCGGGACGACCTAATATCTTCTACAAATACTAGTCGCTCTTTTTCACAGTCTTAAAACTCGTACAAATTATACCACATCTGGGTTTGTTAAGGTATGACCATTTGAAACTTTGGTCAGTTTGGCTACCAATCCAAGTCAAACACACCTTGATTTCTGGTTCGTCCACTATAAGAGGATCGCTAATGTATGCTGATACCGCTGAATTGAAAGGTATCGGCCGAAGAAGAAAGGCACTTCCAAATATAAGCAACAAGGACATGAACATCCACATGTAAAGTATCTTGCCTGCAAGCGGTAAATTGCGTTTGTACCACTACGAATTCATTATTTGAGTGGCAGTCATTTGAAATATCACGCATGTCGAGATTGCTGACATGTAAATAACAAGAGAACCTTTTAGTAAGAAACAAAGGTATACAGGTCGTGATGTCATATTATCACATACGAGAAACTTTCGGGAATTTTTTAGAAGACGTTTTGGGAAAATATTTATAATATAAATTATACGCTGAATATGGGTTGCAGCGTTCCTCCAAGAATTAGGGGCGCAACACTATACAACTCAATGTTTATTTAACTATGTGTCGACAACGAGCTCGGCTAAATGCGTTTCAAAACTGGCGAGTACGCAACATAAGAAAGATTACTGTAACGTGTTCTGGAGTCACGCACTTGAAAGATTGACTGAAAGCAGTGTATGTAGAAGAACTATGAAAGTTTCATGAAAGCTCTGCCCGGAAATGGTGTAAGTTTATAGGTTGACAGCCAATTCCATTATGTAAAATGCAAGCGAGAGGTGTGTGAATGTTGCTTGTGTGCATGCTGGAAGTAATTAGCGGGTAAAAACAAAGCGAGGAGCTACGACTGTTATCTGTGAGCATAGTATAGTTGGAAAGGCAGACCGCACGGTGGTGTGATTGCACCGACCGCGTACGTATAAACGCATAATAACTGTATGTTTTCCCACATTTCTTAAGTTTTACATAAAGTTATCATGGGATTAACATTGTCATAATCTGGTTGGAGTAGCAGCTGCATCTCAGCCATGCATCATTCCCATCTGGGTCTGCCGTCCTTGCCAGTCTCTTTAACGCTTCACGGTTTATAGCTTCCCATCGATGACTCTACCACGTCTGCGTTGATCGATCCGTCCATCGCATCTTTGGTCTCCCCTTAGTCTTCTGACGGGGATTTCTTCAGCAAGTGCTAGTCTCAGCTCTTCCTGTCGTCTCCCCACATGCCCATACTAATTGAGCCGTTTTCTTGCACTTTCTTGACTATAGAGGCCACTTGCATTGCTGTTCGTATGGTATAGTTTGTACCATGCTCGAACATTGCGATGCCCATCGTCCATCGCACATACATGTTTCCATTACACCATTCCGTTCCCTCTTACATCTGCACGTCAAAATTCACTTCCTTAGAACGCTGGTGGATGGACTATGTTGCGGTACATCTGGGATCCCAACTTGAGCGGAGTCCGTCATCATAGCACTCGTGTGGTTCTTCTCCACTTTAGCCAACTGCGTCTATACGACTGCGATTTCGTCTTTAAGCATGCAATCTGCCGGAATGCGGTTTTCCAGGTATTTGAAGGGTGTGGTCTTCTCAATCTGCCTGCTTGCAATCTGAATCGTCCCTGTACTGAAAGTCCCAGCTCCACGTACTCAGTCTTGGCGGTATTAATCTTCAGACCGTGTAGTGCGAGTTAATCTTTCCACATCGTTACATCCATCTCCATTCCCTTTATGCTTCTTACCGTTGCAAACACATCATCTGCATACGGTCCTTAGCGGTTGGTGTATGAAGCCTCTGACTATCGCATCACTGTTATGGATAAGAAGGGACGGAGTACGGATTCTTGAGCACTGGTATCTATGTGTAAGTACTCTGTACGTCCTTTTGGTGTTAGTACGTGACATCTTTGCATATCACTCAAATCCACCGGACGTATTCTTCTGGTACATCGCACTTCCGCAACACCGCCGTGTTGTGTAGTGCGGTTCTTTATCGAATGTCTTCTCGAATTTCAGGAATGCGGCGTGGAACGCAAATTGTTTTCCCCTGCCTCTTTACATTATCATTCTGACGTTGTAAATGGCATATGTTGTACTGCATCCTTTCGCGAATCCACATTGGTTGGGGACCAGTTCTATGATACCCCGGAGTCGCATCTCTATTGTTCGTTCGAAGACCTTCAGAGTGGCAGATGAGGCGATTGATCGGTGGGTGGAGCAGTCAGCTATGTTGACTTCATTCTTCCATATCGGTACCATTGTGCTTCTGTGCCAGTTCTATTTAACTCAGAAGACGCGTTAGCAACGAAAACCCAGGCTGTCCACACTCCTTCCATAATTCGCTGGAGATGTCGTTTTAACCCGGCGCCTTACCATTTTTCATCTTCATTATGGCGGTACGGACTTCTCCTTTCGTGATCGCAGGTACTGGTTCATTTACTGGTTCAGCTGATACGATAGGCGCATATTCGTTGTTTGCTGACGCCATCTCTGCGAAGTGTTGTCTTCATCTTTCATTAGCCTCTTTCGGCTTCCTCCGAATCTTCTTTGTGCGTCACTGATGTTTGCAGAGCTTGCTCTTCTTTTGGAGATCCTGTAGGCTTCTCGCTAGCCTTCGCGAGTCCGTAGTTTGTCGCATAGATCTGACACATACGCTTCTTTCGCCTCTCTTGCTTTTCTCTTGGCTTTAAGTTTTGTTTCTATATAATTCTGGTGCGCAACTTCTGTCCTTGTCTTCTGCCATGCTCTGTATGTCGTCTTCTTGCTCTTTATCACAATCTGCACCTCATCATGCAACCACCGGTTATCCTTGTCGAGCCTCCTTCTTCCCGGCCTCGTGCTCCGAAGTAGATTGTTAATTGTCTGATGAATGTTGTTTTTCGGAATCGTCATAGTCATTTGGATTCTCCAATCCTGGCAAGGCAGATTCTATTAAGGCTGTTGTGCGGGCCTTGTTCTTAAGTTTATACCACTTAATGCGTACTTCAGATTCTGTCATAGCCCTCCTTCTCCTGTCGATTGGTGTACTGAGATCTAGTATCAGAGAATGATTGTGATACGCAATCTTTACCTGGGATGACCTTGCTGTCCTTCTTGTACTGGAGTTGTAGCGTACACCCAAAAAATCTATCTGCGACTTGCAAAGTCCACTGACATATGTGACGTCTGGTTGGTCTTCTTAATAAAGCATGAATTCCCAATGCTTTTATTAGATTTAGCGAATTCTAGAATACTCTCATTCTTCGTTACTCGTGTTGTATCCGTGGTTACCATGACGCTTCTGTAGACCACTTCGTTGACCTTCACATGTCCATTGAGATTTGCACCGATATAAGCATCTCTTCTGGTGGAATGAACTGACATATTCATCGGGCTGTTCCTAAAATTGCTCCCTCAGCTTCTTTGCAGCCTGATTGTGGCGCATAGGCGGTCACTATCGAAGTACTTTCTTACCAGTATCTAATTTTATGCTCATACGACGGTCAGTCATTAAATTTACATCAGTGATCTATCCCTTAACCCTCAGATACGACTACGCCGACACCGCTCCTGTTGTTCTCCCTTATACAGAAGCTTGTAGCCATCTCCGATCTCGCTGCACTTTCGCTCATCCATTGGTCTCCTAAATAAACGTCAACTTTACGTCTTTTAAAAATCCGATAGTTCGCGATGACGACCTGTCAGTGATCCCATTGATGCTGACTTGACACAATGCAAAAATTTTTCTGTGAGCCAGCTTCTTTAGACTGGGTTCATACTGATCCGTAAGTTTCAGACAGTTCCAGCACAGCGCACAATTCGAGCGCTGTGCTGGAACTGTTCCGGAGCTTACGTGTTAGTATGAACCCAGCCTTAGCCGTCCCCGCCACGTTGATAAAATGGACCCTCGCCTACTGTCCGCATCCAAGGGCTCGAACGCGCGTCGCCTTCTGGGACGCCCTAACTATCACATGAAAATCTGTTGAGACATAAAAGGTTATTCTGATGCGAAGTGTCATCTTCTTCCACCGGCTCGCCGCTTGCTTCCTTTGGTGAACACCCTGATGCTGGGTTCAGGCAAAGCTTTGCGAAAAAAATTAGGATCGCTGCGGAATTGAACTGTGGACGTCCTCGCCGTAGGCAAGAGCAGGGATATCTCAGCCGACTCTGCCTCTGCATGGAACACATAAATGGCTGCTGTACACCTGATAGTTAATCGAAAGACGGGCTCAAAATGTACGCGACTCAAAGAAAGAAAACTAAATTATCAGTTTCTTCTTATTCAACATGAAAATGGAATAGCTTGAGCGTATTTCGCAGCCTCCAGTATCGCACATCACTCGTATGAGATGCAATGAAGTGCCAAAGCTGTAAAGCTTGAACGCTTCGACTTTGCTCTTGCAACCAATCAACTCTCTTAGGTTAACAATAACCTTTTTTTTCAAATGATGGGCTTCTCTAACAAGAAATATTTTTCTCATCAAATTGGCCTTTCTATGTGAATCCTACAAGGCTAAGCGGATGGTAATGGGCAGCTGGACTTCAATCAAAATCTAAGACTTTTTATTTTCGATTAACAACAAGCACGCTGCAACTCAAACTCACTTACCAAAGCGACCTTTACCTATTGTTCTACACTTCAGCACTAGCAACCCTTTACTGCTCCTCTTTTACAATCTTGGAACTTTAAAGAATTTTTGAAAGAAGAAAGAAGAAAGAAAAGGACAGGATTATTTTTGGGAACGTCTCCCAAGCCTGCGCTGCTATACCATAAAGTCAGAAGTTAATGACATACCTTTCATAAGCTCTTCATGTTTTCTCAACTGTAGGATGATAACTCATATGTCCCTTTCACTGCCATTCAAACAAAAAACATGAAGAACTGCAAATTATCGATGCAATGAAAAAACAAATAGTTTTGAAGACTGACGAAAGTTAAGGTAAACTGTACTTGAATAAGTAGAGCGTATGGAGTCTTATCAATAGATAGTGGTAATTCTTACGAAGGTGTAAGTAACACGTATCTTCTTTTCGAGACCGTTAACGATCATTTTTGACTATAGGTGATATCAGTGAGTCATCATAGGTTGCTCGGTAACTTATTGGCCCGTAGTAAAGCTCGGTCACTGGAGATGATCTCCCCTGAGGCCCTCATATGAGGCTTTGTCGGGTGAGATGAAGACTGTCCACTTTTCCGTGGTGTAAGTACGCAAGGTCACCCTACAGGTGAGCTTCAAATGAAGCCCGGCAGGGAGATCAGCTCCCGACCGAGTCATCGGAGATGAGCCGGGCGACGACATAAGGTAAATACTGTGCTGAAGAGGAGAGTACAGAGAAAACCTCCGTAAGTTGCTCCCGAGTAACTTACGAAACATCGCAGCTGACGTTCTTTTGCGGTGCAGAACTCCCAGAATTGCACAGTTTCGGGCACCCAAGTGAGGTGAGGATCGATGAACAGCTCATTGCGCGACGAAATGGAAAAAAGGGTTTTTTTGCATTTTTCTTGCAGTTATTGCTTGTTTTTCTTAAAAAATTGCTTCAGATAATAAGAAGATAAATTTACCTCTATTCATTTTTCGCCAAATGTATTTTTTCCTCGTATGATTGCCAAAATAGTGTGTAATTGTTTTATTTTGTTATTTGCCAGGTGAAATCTCTGATAGCGGCTATCATCGATTTTTTCGACAGCGGCCGCTGTCAAAGATCGCCAGGTCAAGCAGCAAAAACATTGGCGCTAGCCGCACTCGAACCACGGCACTGCCGCTTGAAATGCATTAGTCTTATCCATTTGACTTGTAATGCACAGATGGCAGGAACGTTGCAACTTTGAAAATGCGAATGTCCAATCAGTGATCTGATCCAAATCAATCGCTCCCTTGGCAATGTGCTGAGGCGCGATGAGATCAACTCCGGTCCGCCTCAAGAGAGATGCCCTGATGGGGGTTTACTACGGGCCATTAACACTCATTGCAGCAGTGGTACCTTGCATGATCTTACGTGTTTTAGTGCGTAGATATCGCTCAAGTTTTTATTGAACATTTTTTATTGACTTCGCATTTCAGCAAGTATGAAGACTAAAAGGTACTGGGATTAAGATAATAATATGTTTTACACATAAGTAGTGGCAGAATGAAACAATCGGTACAAACACAGGTTGAATTCGGATCCCACATTTTTATTGAGAAGTCTACACCTATTTACCAAGTGTCACATCACTTTCCGTTCACTATACCATGTTGAAGATCACCGAAAGCCATGGATTTTTCTTCGATTTTTGCTCTGCTCCTCTGCAAGCTCAGTTACAAATGTTAAAAGGAGAAGAGAGGGCAACAACTTTGTTGCCTTAAATTGCAAAAACTCAAATTTTTTGAGTCATTGACAAAAATTTTTGTCAGAATTTGCTAAAAAGTACTAAGAGTTCTGTGTTTAGTCGTGGGTCATGGAAAGACTGGCATAGGTAAGCCACAATTAGGTTATTTTATTCCTCTGTGCCAACTTACTTCGCACATTTGTAGTGTATGCAAAGTTTTGGATATGTGTGGGGATCTCCTCCAACACAATGAACTCACTATTCGTTCGGACATGGTCGTATGCAGGCCAAATTAGTGTTATAATTAAGAACGTAAAATCGCTTCCATTTTGTACAAAACCATCAACTGATAGTTCGTTACCAGGTGTCATCATCAACAGGTAACCATCAATTTCAAAATAGATGATTTCCAAAAACAGAATAAAAGATGGCATTGATTATTAGCTCTTCCCACGCCCATTCACTTCACTAGCAGTGCTCTGTTTTTTCACCTCAGATAAAGCTGTTCGGTCTTTTCAATTAATAGCTTAAAGAAATCTCAAAAAAATGAGAATTGCACCGTAGTTCAGAGAGTTCAGCAAGAGAAACTTTGTCACTTAAATATTGTATGAATATAGTAGCAAAACTTACAGGAGCTCTCAAATTTTTAGTGTACTTCACTCAACAAATAATCTCGTTTTTTCATTGACTGCTCACAAAACATGTTAAGATTACATGCTTAAACAATGTGGAGTTCGAACTCGGAAACGAATCTTTTGGTAATATTATAGATTTGATTTTGCTGCCTTCAATCAATGGCACGAGTGATTGCATCACTAATTTAACAACTGTTGTTACCTAAAATATGTAACGCACACAATTTGACGTTACAGTGATTCCGACAAGAATAACAGACTCTTACAACTGACTGTACCCACCTTGAAACAGAAACCGGAAAGGGTGCGCAAGATCGGTCATTTCTACTATTCTATTCAAGGCTAGAACTATGCAGCTAAACGTCGCTCCACACCAAAGACCTGGAATACTTAGTACAAAGTCAATTTAGTTGGGAATACGATGAGGCACTGCTGCCACCATAATCTACCTGGAGTTTAAAACCACATTATCAATCCGTGTAATAGTCAAACCTTATAACACACATTTCGCAGCTCCAACATCTTTATACCTACCACATCAAACCCTCATATAAACATACATTTCTCCCACTACTGCAAATACAGAAACACGAAGCAAAAATACAAAAATGTCGCCTTTTAGGTTTTTGAACCAACTTAATGCTAATTCAAGAAAACCTTGTAAGAGCTTGTAGATGTAAAACGTGGTTGTAATTCAAGTTTGTATAGGAACACAAATGTAAAAACAATTCAGAACTACTTTGGCAGAAACATGTCAGTTTCCTTTCTCAATTCCCGGTAAGGAAAAGTACATTAGATGCATACATGAGTGTGTGATGTGCTGGATGTATGCGTGACCTTAAAGGTCGGGGAATTTCTTGGCAAAGATTTCATTCTTTCGAGTTATTGCAAAACACTTTTGATTTTGACTTCAGATTCATATGAAACTGTGCGAATTTCAACAGCCATGATGTAGAGCTTGCTGCTTTCCTCTACCAAATAATAAGTTGAGCCTAAAATGATTGCGTAAAATTTGGTCAATGCGAAGAGCTTAAGATAGTTTATATGTACAAGGATGTATGCACTTGAAATGAAAGCTATCAAGTTAGCTCGGCCCCTTTTGGCAAGGGACAGGCATATATATATATTCTACATCAGCTTCTAACGCTCATTAATATGCTTTTCTTGGCTGCAGCTCACCATTTCGAAACGACTGGGCTTTTTCCTGCGCAAATTGGCATATTACTGAATGGGAAGACTGTATCTAGATGAGAAACTGCAAGAAAAAGGTGCTGAGATATGGAACAACGCAAACTCAATCTTTTTTCAAAGCTCAAGCGCAAGTGTATTAGCACTTAGATGAAGATGCCGTAATGCCAATGAGTCGATGAGCATGCTAATTTCGTGCAGGAAAAACCCCATAACTCGCTTTGGAATGGTGCGCGCATCTGGGAATTACGACCGGATGATCCCGATACCCACGCCACATGAAGTCATAATTCGAGGGGCGGGCTATGTCTGCCGTACGTGCGCCTGGGAGGTCTCGCCTCACTCTAAATCAGACGTTGACCACCTATAGTCACAATCTTACACTCTCCGTTACAATAATCAATAAACCACTGAACCACCAATCTTGTTGCTTATTTCACAGTATTACATTGCATTCCGGGGAAAAATCCCTCGGAGAGTCCACAACCGCTAATAGATATTGCATATTTGGAGTCAGCGTTTGAAGCTGATTTAGATTATATATGTCACTTGCCAAAAGGCTTAGCTAAATTAGGTAGCTTCCCATGTTAAATGCGTTTTAGTATACAAACAACAATGGCTTTTCAGCTGTTGCTTTCAAAGAAGGTGCTACTGGTTTTTTTTTCAATTTGAATTGGCAGGAAAGCTCAACGTAGAGTCAATGCTAGTCTTACAAGGGAAGGATACCAACATTAGTCGGCGATTGAAGATGAAGTGTATATCAGTAGACGCGCCTTCAAACGCTGATTCCAAATCTGCTCTATATTTTACTGAATGAATTTCCGGAAGAAGTTGTGGGCGTCAAATGTCTAAATTTATCAATGTTTAGGTGGCCTAAAATGGGTGGAAAGCTGTACAAAAACATTGGAAAGTAAAAATTCATTTTATCGAATGTATTGTTTGCAAGGAGGGAACAAAGCCGGTGAAAATCGCATGAATCGCATAGATACTGTTTTAAAGCCTTTCGTTGATTTTGAGCCGTGCTTGGCAAATCTGGACATTCAAACGCTCAAAACTTCTTTCGGAAACTTGTTCCGCAAAAAAGGAAAGTAGATTTGGAATTAACGTTCAAAGGCTCGTCTGCTGTTATACATCTCACCTTCAATCGACAACTAATGTTGGTATCCTTCCCTTGTTAGATATCTGCTTTATTTTCATTTTGTTCTTTTGATTTCATTTTCAGTTGAAAAAGAAAAGATTTGAATTGAAGCAATTCTTTCGCAAAGCGTGTTGGCACTTCCTGAAAAACTTATTTGATGAAGACTTTAACAGTCGTGGGTATCGGGGCTTGATCGCTAGAGTCGGGAAGTTTGCGGTCATCGCACATGCAAGATGCCACAAGGCCTCAGACTTGTTGAACAGTCCCGCACCTTTCAAATTGGTTTCAGGCAAGTGGAAGCCAACATCTGATGGTAGAAAAGTGTTTGAAAGGAAAGAAAAGTAATCAAGAAATCAATGCGCGTGCAAAGGCCGCAAACTCCCGACTCTGGCTAGCAGAGCCCTATAACACGCTACGCACCCCTGCCAGTAAAGCATTGCTTGCTCCATGAGTTTTTACTCGCAAGCCAACTTTGCGGAAATTCATTCCTTGCAAGTTTTCTACAAGCTTTAGAAACAAAGGTACTTTATATCATTACTACTTTCCAAAGACTATGAGACAGCAATTGTGAAAGCAGCACACTATAACTAGCTCTTTTTAGACCGTTCCAATTTCAAAAATGGTTGGGTTTTTCTTCGATTCAGATTCTTGAATAGAAGAGTCAAAATATGCAGCACTTACAGAAACCGATGTGTGCTGCAAACCATCCCAAGGTGATGTTAGAGCAAAATACTGCACCAGTCTAAATGTCCACGTTTAGCACATATGCACACAGTTTGCAATTTTAACTTACAAAATGAAAATAAGCTGTAATATATGAGATGACAAAAAGTTCGCTGAGATCAATGAAACCATTGAAAAACATAAGCTTATAACAGGGAGCTCTCAGGAGACGTTTACGATACATTCCAAACAATGACAGCACGTACAGGACCTAAAAAAGTTCTGAATGGCAGCTTACACCTTTCGTTGTCACTGAAGAACGTAGCTTTAATTTGTTACATTATTATAGTTACGCCAAGGCTCAAATCCTTATGGGCTACTTTTCTAGATACATGGCTAGAGTATATGCCTTTCTGCATTGCTCCGTTATAGCGCTAATTACTTCGCTCATGGCTGCGCTAATTAGTCAGCCTCTAGAATAATTTTCAAATACTAGGCTGTTCCGAAATTTCTTTCCGATTGTTCGACTTCATATTGTTGCTTTATGTTTGATGCAGAGTTCCCTTGAATTTTGCATATAAAATGAGCCGGTGTCTATATTAGTAGAAAGCTCTCTTCTTGCTCTTTCCGATGCTTACTAATCTTGGTGAAGATTCTCATTGTTCTGCATTTTTGCCTAAGCATGCAGGGTGCCACATTTCAGCAATATTCAAGAAAGTTGCATTTGCAAGAAATCTCCACTATCTGCCAATAAAGTTATTTATAAAATGTGAAGTGAAAAAACAATCAAAGGGCTAGGAGATGCACTTTTCTATTTCAAGAGCAGAACTTTCTTGATTGACAATTATATTGTCAAATGGTGAAAGCCTTCCTTAGCCAATATACAAGCGCAAGAAAATTACGCATAGAAATCAGTGACAGCAGGACTGTATACGTTAGAGTAAACTAAGGACGACCAGGGCCCAACCTTTGGTTAGCCCTTTTCGTTTGCGTCATGTAAAAAAAACAATCAAATGATTGAAAGGAAGCATGTTTCGGCATGCGCCAGACGAGTTAAAAAAAACGGCTTTTGTTCTTCTCTCACAAAATTTTTTGTGCCACAACGAATACATGAATTCGCATCGGTCAAAAAGTACTCTACGGATCTTAAGCTTTACAATGATGACAAGTAGATATGTCCGTCATATCGCGTTTGAGAGCATTGCTGTGTCAAAGTGGACGGTTTTGGAGAAAAACTCGTAGAAAGTTTCAAATATTCGTTTCTCTCTTGGCTGCCTTAATTATGAGGAACGCTGTCCCTGTGGTATCAAAACTTGATCACAAAGAATGTAAGATAACCCGAAAACAATTAATCCAATCAAACTTATGACAATTTGAGTTAAAAAATTCGAAATCGAACAGAACTTTTAACATAGTATTTCTGAGTATTCTCAAGAAACGAATGCACATTTTCAAACAGTAATAGTGACGATGTTCAATTACGAAGACAAAATTTTGAGAATTTTGAACTTTTTTTACTTCCATGTAATTTCTTCTCCGTCCACAGTTCTCGCAATTACTGTAAAGTCTGCACGCGTAATTTGAAAAAACTTACCCGAGCCACTAACGTGAAACACTTTTTGAATTTTATGTAAATCAGAATCTTTACTGGCTGTTGACGATCGTGACATCGTTGCTCGCACGGACTGCTTAATCGTTGCAAACCACGGGCGACGCGACTAAAATATTGCGAGAGCACGACGAGAGCACGGCTTATACGATGACAATTTGTACTAGGGCAAGTGCAATCGGGAGCTCCGCAGTGATGTCTAGTCGTGCTGTCAACGACTAGACGACATGTATGCATATACAGGGTGTCCCAAAAGTAAGTACATACTCTTCAATCGTTAATATCTCTCTTCCCATTGTGTCTTTTTCCGCTCTCTAAGTGCCATTCTGTAGAGGAGGCTTCATCTTAGATTTAATGTATCGATTGAATCATCGATTGCTCTTCATTACTGTAGGATTACGGTAAAAACATCCAGCATGTGGAACCATCGTGAAATATGCCATCCGACAATTTTTTTTTCAAAAAAACTGAATAATCGTTTACTAGGATTTTCGCGCACGCTGATTCCACTACACAACTTTTTATGAGTGTTTACAGCTTTTTTGACGGTGTAATCACATTTCTGACAAATACTGGGAATTTCGTTATTACTGTTTACCTGGGATAACTTTGGAAAGAAGCATCACAGTAAGGTAGAAGTTTCATATAGAAAATCAGCCGCTTTCATTACCATAGTGTAAGAGTTTTTGTCTTGCTTGGTTTTGTTCGGAGGCACAATATGGCCTCTAATGGCCTAAAATCCTTGTCGAAGTTCCTATCGTAATCCTACAGTAATGAAGAACGAACGGTGATTCCCTCAATACTATAAGTCTAAGTTGAAGCCTCCTCTAAAGAATGGCACTTAAATGGCGGAAAATGACACAATGAGAAGAGAGATACTGGCAATTGAAAAGTGTGTACTTACTTTTGGGACACCCTGTATGTATGTAGGTATGTCTGTGCGTGTGTTCGATTATAAATTCTCATTCCAGTCCGATCCTAGTCAAACTTTGCACACGTACACTTCGCTACGGATGTTCGAGGGAAGAATGGAGGGAGGAGCGAATTTTGAGGTAGGGCTGAGAGTTGGCACAATGAGAGGGGGGGGTGGGACGAGTAAGCGTGCTAACTACGATAAAAATAGTAGTGTTCTAGCATTGTCAAGTACTCCATGAATGATTTGCAAACTCGAAACTGGTGCGTCGGAATTTGATACAGGAGGCTAAGTGAGCATGCCTGTCAAATACGTGGGGACGAGGAGGTCGCACATCGAAGTGGAATAGGAACGAAATGTTTTACAGAAGCAGGCCGTGGTAAGTTCCAACATGTTACGTTAACAGGACCGAGCAAAGCCGAGTACCATCTTAGCTATTATAAGGACACTTCGGTAATACCCTGCGCCATTTCGGTAGTTCCGCGATTCAGCATTGCTACATTAGCTTGTATTTTTTGTAGGTACTCTCGACTCTCAGGTAAGCAAGATTCGATATGGTCTCAAGAGAGATCACGTTATATCATTTCATTGTGCCACTGCAAAAGTCGGCATATGAGTAAAGGCTGCCTCCAGCCCTAACGTTCATGTTTTCGGCCATCTGAATGGCTAATCTTGTCGTCTGCTCAGAAGCGACATAAGGAAATTCAAAAGTATCCTCTTCATTTCTACACATAAAAATGATGCACAGCTTGCCCATATGCCACTCTTGCCTAACATAAGAACAGCAACGATAGCTACAGATCGCCGTTTCCGTATCGTTGTCGTTTATCGTACGATTTCGTTTTTCAATCACGAATTCTGGTTAACGTTCGGAAAATAACTAAGAAGCATTATCTACCGCAAGTATAGTTCCAGCCGTCATAAAATAGACTCCTTGATAGGGATTTACTGATCCTCTGCTTCGCCACTCGGATTGGGAACGAATGCTGCAGTTGTATTCCGTTTCATTGATTTCCCATGGCAAGTGCACGTAGAACACCTGCATCCTACAAAATACTTGGCTTGGTTATGATCAAAACATCAAGTTAAAAGTCTTACAAATGCAAATTGAGAACAAGAAAAAGAAGGAAAGGGCGTCTGTGAAGTTAGAGAGGTGAGGCAGAATGTAGCCTTGCAGAAAGACCACATAAGAGCGTTTTTTAATAACTACATAGCTAGAATTGATGTTCTTGCACTGTTATTTTGTACGCCCATTTTCTGCAGAAGTGAGACGACGTTGGAGGGGAAGACTGATGCTTAACGAATTTAATTTGCTAAGTTTCTTCTCGTTCCAAGGACGAGCTGATTTACATATGAATATAAAGCTGAACGAAGGCAACGTTTTGGATGCAGTAACGGTCGACAAACATCGCGTAACTACTAACTTTTGAGCATGGCCACTTATGTCGTAAAATCTAAGATTGAAAAATCATTTTTTATAAGTGTGTCTTCCCATATTAAAATGGACATTTAGTTGAGACATTATCCGAAGATTATATCTGTTGTCTCGTTGGAATGTCAGGACATTCTATTCCTCTGAAGTTTAAGCTTACGATTAAATTGTCACACAACATTCCTTTCATTCTTTATATGCGTGAATTAAAAGAAAAGAATCATATAAGTATAAAAGTGTGTTCTATACCATTTCTAGCACTTAACTGTTTTCTCGTTCTGATGAGAGCTTACAATTACTTTCAAAATTACTAAAATATTAGGTTGTCAAGAAAATAATGTCTTTTTTTATTTGCTTGCTTTAACAGAGCAACCAGACTCAACCTAACAAAGGGTAATGGGTACTGTTCGATAGAGCGAAGCAAGCTCTACAAGATGGCGCTCATGAGTTTGCGCCAAGCTTTATCCACGGAGAGTTCGAACTCAAAATCTAAAGATTTCCAAATGCTCAAAAAATCGAAAAAAATCAGATCTCCGTCCAAATAATTTCTACGGACCTCCCACTCGCTCACATCAATACTATCGATATCTGATATCCATATGTGCGATTGCCGTATTTTTTCCTTGACTAGAAATTGAGAAAACAAAAATTTTCCTGATTTTCTCAGAGCAATGCTGAGCCGTTTTTGCATATGTGGTTCTATACTACAAGCCTAGGTGAGCATGACTGTAAATTTTCAGCCTATTTCGAACGGTACTTTTCGAGAAATGTTGCTTTTAGCACTGAAACTGAAAAGAAGAAAGCTGATTCCGATATTTCTCGAAAACTACTGCTCGGAATGGGCTGAAAATCTGCAGTTATACTTACCTAGGCTTGTAGTATAGAATCACATATGCAAGAACGGCTCAGCATTGCTTTTAGAAAAACACGAAAATTTTTGTTTTCTCAGTTTGTAGTCAAGGAAAAAATACAGCAACTGCACATATGGATACCATATATCGAAATTATTGACGTGTGCGAGTGGGAGGTCCGTAGAAATTATTTGGACGAAGATCTGATTTTTTTCGATTTTTTGGGCATTTGGATATCTTCAGATTTTGAGTTCGAACATTCCCTGGATCGAGCTTGGCGCAAGATTATGAACGCCGTCTTGTAGAGCTTGCTTTGCTCTATCGAACAGTACCCATTACCCTTTGTTGGATTGAGTCTGGTTGCTCTGTTAAAGCAAGCAAATAAAAAACGACATTATTTTCTTGACAACCTAATATTATATTTGAAGTTATACGTGCGATATGAACGGGTAGAATTTATAGCCATTATGTAGCTATGATAATTTGCTTGAATCAACAAAACAAAGCATAGACCTGTACTTCTTCAGCTTCGATTATGATGTTTCCAGCTTTTCCATTTTAGAACATAGGGCATTTAATCCTGCAATCACATTTTTCTCTCCATTCCAATCTCCAAGTCTCCACTCCAATGGTATTTCTGCTCAATTGTGATAGTATCCAGACGCCGAATGACTAAGCTGAACTTTGAGGTGATGCCTTTTTGTAAATGTTTTGTGCTCCTATGGGCGCAAAGACCAGTCAATTCCGTCGTCACGATTTTACAATTGACTTATACTTTCTGCGCAGTTTATAAGTTTGGTGCAGATGTAGGCGGGATTGCATGCGCAGCTAATATTATCTTCAAAGTTCGCAAATGGGAAAGTCAATTTCATTGTGCAAAAGCGCTATATGTTTACCAAAGGCGAAAGGTAAAGACATATACTCATTGTTAGTAAAATTTGAGTAGAAGCTTTACAGAGCTATGAAAGCAGTTGATAATTTGATGAATATGAAAATTTTTGGATGAGCTGCGAGCTCACCTGCTTTGATCAGTTTGAGATGAGCAAGTTTCAAATTATTGCAACTCCTTGAAAATCAGTAAAATTTGAGTAGAAGCTTTACAAAGCTACTAGCTGGCTTACCCGGCTCCGCCGTATCCGGACCAAACTTGGCACACATACACTTCGGGCCCCGGCGGGTGTCACAGTCCACTTTTCGTTATCGATCGATGTCGATTTTACCGATTTTTATCGATTTTTTGGCAGAGTTCACCTACAGGGCTAGGAGTTGGCACAGGGGGGAAGTGAGCATGATGATTCCGAATACAATATTAGTTTTCAGGATCGTCCATTACTTTTATCGATTTTATCGATTTTTTTGCAAAGTTTGACCTGCGGGGCTGGGAGTTTGCACAGAGGGTAATCGAGCATGCAGATTACGAATACAATATTAGTTTTCAAGATCGTCCATTGCTTTTATCGATTTTATCGATTTTTTGAAAATTTGAGCTAGGGGGCTGGAATTTGGCACAGGGGTGTTCGAGCATGCTGATCACCCCCCTTGGGGATGATCAGCATGCTCGATTACCCCCCTGTGCCAACTCCCAGCCCCCTAGCTCAAACTTTGCAAAAAAATCGATAAAATCGATAAAAGTAATCGATAATCCTGAAAACCAATATTGTATTCGGAATCCCCATGCTCGATTACCCCCCTGTGCGAACTCCCAGCCCCGTAGCTCAAACTTTGCAAAAAAATCGATAAAATCGATAAAAGTAATCGATAATCCTGAAAACCAATATTGTATTCGGAATCCCCATGCTCGATTACCCCCCTGTGCCAACTCCCAGCCCCGTAGCTCAAACTTTGCAAAAAAATCGATAAAATCGATAAAAGTAATCGATAATCCTGAAAACCAATATTGTATTCGGAATCCCCATGCTCACTTCCCCCCTGTGCCAACTCCTAGCCCCGTAGGTGAACTCAGCAAAAAAATCGATAAAAATCGATAAAATCGATATCGATCGATATCGATCGATGACGAAAAGTAGCCTATGACACCCGCCGGGGCCCATAGTGTATGTGTGCCAAGTTTGGTCCGGATCGGTTCAGAAATGGAATTTTCTATTCGGAACATACGTACACACAGACATACAGGCAGACAGACATACAGACAGACATACAGACAAACAGACATTCAGCTTTATATATAAGATGAAAGCAATTGATAATTTGATGAATATGAAAATGTTTGGATGAGCTGCGAGCTCACCTGCTTTGATCAGTTTGAGATGAGCAAGTTTCAAGTCATTGCAACTCCATGAAAATCAAAAGTCTTTTTGATAGCTTCTATCTTCATCATGCCCACTTGAACTCAGTTACAGAGGGCTTGAACTAAAGATTATAAGCCGAGCGTTTTTGTATCTCACCAGCGGCGGTCCGATCTTGCCAGTAAAGCCTTGTTAAATCGACAATTTACGCAACCAAGTCTTTTTGGTGCCATTCTGAGAAAATAAATAGACATTTTACTTACTTGATGGGCTAGAATCTATGGCTTGCGGATTAACTTGTCAAAAAATCCACAATACTGCAAAATATCTATGATAGGCTTCTAGATCAGCATAGAGGCGGGTTGCAGGCACACCCTGATTATAAAGCTAAATCAATGAAAGTACGAAAAACAAGCTGTAACGGGGGTTTAACGAGTTTATACAACAATTAGGGAAAATCAACAACTTGCTTCCACACGAACCTGGGTGCCGATTATACAGTTGAAAGTCTCAAAGAAGGTATTGTTTCCTACTTCATGCTATGACGCATTACTGCCTAAACTACGAATTTTCCTTTATTCTAAATAGGCGGCATTCACGTTTAAACGGTTTTTCACTGACATTCAGTTAGACTAATGCAGGAATAGGTGGAGCAAAAAGTTATAATAAAAACTATATTTCCTTCGGCTTTACATTAATTGTACAGTGTTTCCTATCCAAATAACAAAACTTAAACTTTAGATTACTTATTCTTTCGTACGTCGCACTAAAAGTCAACTGCCCGGTGTTGCAAGAAACTATGTTAGAAGTAATTGCAACGTAGAGCCTAATGTATCGCCAATCCCGGTCTTTTAGTGTAATGACTAACAGCACTAATCTGTATCCAGCAAATGGAGAATGAGAGTTTTTCGATTAAGACCGCAGGATCAAATGAAACATTTTGGTATATTCGTCTCCGCCTTCTTCAGAGCCTGTATCGAAGATTTTTGTAATCTATCTTTTAGATGCTTAATTCACCGTGTTGGTACAAACTCAGGAGCCAACGGAGCCAAAAAAACGAGATGTTGAAGGTCAGCGCTCACCTTATAGCATTGCGGATGAAAGATGGTGACCATCAAGCAAAGCTGTGCCGATGATGTCGTTGCTAATCACTGGTCGCGTTTGACGTGGCCCAGATAGATTAAAATCCACAAAAGTTAGACAATGCCCCTCGTCTGAATGCAATGCGATGCGTCCAATGCAATGCGTTCTTCCCTTATATTCAGTTTACAATTTTGTAAACAAAGACATAACTTTTTGAGTGCTTTGCGTGCTATAGTTGGGGGATTGTGAAAAAGAGTGACAGCAGCACCAAACGGTTGCTTTGGCAGAGCTTGCTTTAAGCACCCCAAGAGGTCGATGATCAACCTTTGGCAAGTCCATCCAAGAGTGATACGCCCGCCTTTACAAGTTCTCCCTACCCTATGGATATACCACGCAGTGTGCAAACGCTGTCATAGGCGCGCGTGCCAGCTGC